ATTTTATACTTTGATTTCCTCATATGGAACACTGCCATGAGGATGAAATACAATAATTCATGTAAGTGCTTAGAACAGTGTCTTGCCCATAGAACGTATCCAGTAAATACTAACCACTGTTATAACTTACTCTCTTATTATAACCTAATAGTCTAACTTCTGAGGCTGAGCCCTGGGCTAATCTGAATGGCTGCTGTGATGCTCTAAAAGTCACGCAGATTAATTTATTCTTGTATGTATAAGTCCATCCGAACTGTTTCCCCTGTCGCCATGTCCTCTTAGACACCCACAGATATGCATGTGGCTTTGAAAAGCACACTGAAGAAGACATTTGGTGTTTCCCTGGCAGGGAGAGCCAAGATGCCCAGCAAGTATACTCTATCACGCAGGACCAGAAAAAGGCACTTTCCTCTCTCTCTACCACAATCCACACATCTACACTCTACCCCCCCACACGGAGACGTCTTGCTTCTTGTTCCCATTATTTTGGGGAGAAAACACGCACCCAGGTGTGTGCACACGCCCATGCACACACGCAGAGAATCTGCCACTTCTGTGGTCTGGGACTCCACCTCATAGGCAATGCCTGCAGGACCATGGAGGCTGCCAGCTGGCTTTTCTCTTTCCCCATTTGGGGGATTTCATTTCCTTGCAGCTTTTCATAAGAATGTACCCCAACAAAACCTTCTAGTTCCATATGCCCCCTGAACAGACTGCCACAGTCCCTGATCCTAGCATTTAACTCCCCACTAAATGAACATGCTGAAAACCGAAGGACTGGTCCTCTCGTGAATGAAGAAAAGCATCTCTTAGTCTAATATTACAGTACACTCACAATTCAGCAGAATCAGCTCTCAGCTCATTTTCCTTTCACGGCAGAGAGGCAAAACATTAACTTATTCATTTTTATTTATCAAACGTTTACATGCTGCTAGCTAGGAACCACACACTCTTCGTATATTAACCCATTGAATTCTAATAAAAACCTTTGATTTTGTTATTATCATCATCCCCATTTAACAGATGAAGAAACTGAGGCACAGAGAGGTTAAGTAACTTGCCCAGAGTCACACTGCTGGTGAGTAGGGGAGCCAGGATTTGAACCTGGGCTGTCTGGGTACAGCTTCCACGTTCCTCACTCTGCTGTGTGTACTGTCAGGATGTGGGATCCACAATATAATGATGGAGAGCCTTATTGCTAAGTCTCTCCACTCCCATGACAGTCCACACAGTTATTCTGCAGTGATAGAAACCCTGGACTTAACTCAGGCTCCTGATTAGACTCTCACGTGAAGAACGACTACAAACATTGCCTGCCAGATACCCAGAACTCAGGTATCCCATTGCTCCTTCTGATTTATCAAATCCAAAATATTTTTATCAAAATTAAAATTTGGTTACCGTACTAGAGAAGCTAAGTTTCCTGTGTTCCTTTCTCATCTGTGAGGGTTGATACTTAGTAACTTTCTCATCTACTAGGGTTGATACTTAGTATCTTTCTCATCTGTGAGGGTCGATAGTATCTTTCTCATCTACTAGGGTTGATACTTAGTATCAGGAAAATGACAAAAGTCAGGCATCCTAGGAAGAAACAAAGCAAGGGATGCGACTTACTGTCAAGAGGTCACTAAGTGAGCGGCTCTAGATCAACTGGCTATTTATTTCTCCTTACTTAAAAGCAAGAGCCACATCAAAGAACGACTCCTTTTCTATACCCATGTGGCAAATCTCCTGCTAAGGGTCTAGGTGTTCAATGCAGCTTTGATAACGAGCAAGGAGACACAGGCAGTAGTGACAGGCCAGGCTCAGGATGTCAAAACGTGAAATCTCAGCCACTGTCACTTCTGGGTCACACTCTACCAAAATTTGGTGACCGAGTTTTTTTCTAAGAGTGGATTTCCCAGTTTAGGGGTAGCTGGAGCTTAGGCAGGGAAGGGTGAGGAGAGAGACATATCCCTGAAGGCAAAGTAGAGAGAAATGGGATTGCTAAGGGAAATTAATTAATGGAGAACGAAAGACAACTTAATTTTTTTTAGTTTTCTAAACAGGCCTTCTTTTGGCAATTCCAAATCACTGCCACATTAATGTAAAATAATTAAGCCAACTCTCTGCTTTGCCATGAAAAAGAAAATGCAACCCCAAATGGAAATGTATGGCTAAAAGACACATTCAGGCACACTGAAATAAAATGGGCATGAACAGCTCTCCATTTGTTCAATAGGCTATTGAACAAAGTCTCAATGCTTTTTTAAGGCAAAATCAATGTGAAATGTCACAGGGAGCGGTGGCTCCACGCTTATCCCGCAACATAACTTACACGATTCCCCTTTAAATTTTAAAGTGTTTTAAACATTCTTGGTTTTGCCCAAAGAAATCATTCAGAACTTGTTAGGATAGGAATTCACTTGGTTCAGATTATTTTACAAAACCCATTCTTTCTCAGCAGGCAAAGCACATTTAGGAAAGACCAAAAAGACGTCGTGCAAAGAGAAACTCGTTACCTGCATAGAATTCAGGACTGTAGACTGCACCCACAACTGGATTCAATTTCCAGCCTTAAAACAAATATACAAAAACATTATTATCACGTTTGATTCAACAACTTATAATCATTGCAAACTAACTGCAAATAAAACGAGCTAAAGTATTTTATTTTCTGTGGGGTTTTTTTTTTTTTTTTGTATTTTAAAATGTACAGTACATGCAGTTTGGGCATGCATAAAAATATTTGAAAATGACACATAAAAATGGATTTATGCCCCTCTTTGATTTTTTGCCAATGCAAGTTAATGGAATGGAAACTACTGACCAGCTACAGGTGAACCTTTTGAAAAGACGTGGTAATTAATTTTCTACCATATAAATATATTTTAGAGCCATTATAATAATTTCCATTTTTATCTTATTTCATATATCACTGCTAAATGACCCATCATGTCCCTTTAAGTTCACAAACACTTGAAAGCTTGCATAAACAAAATTTTTTGCAGCAAACATACTCTAAAAATTGTCATTCCTAATTATGACCCTGAAATACTAGAGAATTCCAAAGCACTTTTTGAATACCAAAGAAAATTATATATTATGCCCTAGAGATTTAGTGTGGAATACATTTTAATGTATTCAAGAACCATAAAAAAATCTTAATCAATGCATGATATCTAAGGTAACTTTCAAATAACCTGTATATAAGATTAATAGAATCCTGTAATTTTCCAAATGTTCTGGATGGAGAGTTTTCTGTAAAATGAGTCCAGGCCCTTTAGAAATTTTTACTCCAAAAAAGAGCATACAAGAAATTCACAAATCAGGCAGCATGCTACAGATGGGCATTATTTAGGGAACAACCTCTAGCGAATGATCACAGTTTAAGGGTGATGTGATTGTTTCCTTCTCTTATTGGTAAGTCTTTATGGAAACATCTGCAGTGGTCCCCAACCTTTTTGGCACCAGGGACCAGTTTCATGGAAGACAATTTTTCCATGGACCAGGGGTTGGGGGGGGAATGCATCACTGCCTCAGCTGCACCTCAGATCATCAGGCATTAGAGTCTCATAAGGAGTACACAACCTAGACTGCTCACATGCACAGTTTACAGTAGGGTTTGCACTCCTGTGACAATCTAATGTGCCGCTGATCTGACAGGAGGTGGAGCTTATGCAGCGATGTGATTGATGGGGAGTGGCTGTAAATACAGACGAAGCTTCATATGCTCACCTCCTCCTGTGTGGCCCAGTCCATGACCCAAGGGTTGGGGACCATAGCATTACACAATTTTTACAAGAAAGAGGAGGGCAGGTGTATTGTCCTGCCTGGGTCCTTGGGCAGAGGGTCAAATACCAAAGGTCTTTCAATAAATGTTTCTGAGAAAAGGCAACAGTAAAAGTCTGGATGTGAGGGAAGGTATTTCTGACAATGAGAACTCCCTGAAGTTTTCCCAGAAGGATGAGGTGTGACTTCCTGCCCGATCCTAAGTGACATGTCTCTGAGAACAGCTAAGAGGTATTCCTAGAATTCACTAAGGAAGAAAGAGGCTCAATATCTCAAAAGATAGGCCTTAGGATCAGTAAGATTCAGAACTTTCTAGAACTTTCTAAGGATTTTTTTTTTTTCTAAAAAATTTCAATTCTAACTTGCATAAGCTAGGTGGTTTATAGCCCCCAGGATGATCTTAGTTTAGGGTTTTTCAAATGTTGTACTTGGATTATGTGGGAGGCATGTTAATCGGTAATTCCTTGGCCCCGTTTTTTAGGTCTACAGGAAAACACATAAAATTCTGAGACTTATTGCCCCACGAGTTTCTGAAACTTCATACTGACACCTTCTTCTCTTGTATTAACCATATCTTGCCTTATAGGAATTTCTATAGTGATAGAAAAATAAAAATTATCCCAAACATTTCAGAATATATATTTTATGAATGTAGAAAATGACTTCCATTTGACTAACTAAAATTCCACAGCTTCCTAAAAAAGAAAATGCCCAATTCCTGAGGACATGGGAACTAACGTCCACATTTCAAGTAATTTGGAGTCTAAGAAAAAACAGAGCAAACCACTTGAAAATAAAGCTTCAGAAATAGTAAATATTCTCTGCCTTTCTAGTCTTTCACAGAAACCTAGAACTTGTGAACTGAATATATAGAGTCATATTAAACCAATAATTATTGAGTTATCACACCCCTTCCTCTTCTATCTGTTCCCCATCTTATACCCTGGTTAGACTCCTATCTTTTCTTAGTAATGGAGATGGTGTTTATTTCACACTTTTCAACCCAGATGTTGTTTTTTGTATATATCCTTATTACCTTCTTAAATACTTACTGTTATATACAAGGCTAGGACATGCTATTTGCTGAATGTGCCCCTATCTAATTTATGCCAACGACCTTTCATTTTCTCAAAAAAAAAAAAAAAAAAAAAAACACCCAGGTTTCTCAGAGGCATCTAAGACCGGCTAGAAATTATGTTTCTCCCATCTGCCTTTATCTTCCTCATTTGGGGTCAAGAAATCTAGCTATCTACCTACCTACCTATCTACCTACCTATTATCTATCTATACACCATCTACTGTCCGTCTCTCTCACCTGTCTGTCTGTCTAGCTACCTATCACCTGCCTGTCCATCTGTCATTTACTACCTATCTAAATCCATACATCCACCTATCTATCAACACTCCTATCATCTGTCTACCATCTACTGTTTATCTATTTACCCATCTGTCTACCTGCCCATTATCTACTAGTTTTCCAAGTCTGCCCATGGAAAACTTTCACTCAATATAAAAATAATAGAAATTAAATGACACTCTGGCTCCTCAGGAGATCCATGCCATCTCCTGTCTGCAAGTATTCATTGAGAGAGGTAATTGATAAGGTCTCCTCTATAAGAAACCCACAGGGAATCTGTGAGCTGCAAAATGAAATGGGACCGCTAGGGTCATCATGGGAACATCATGCCGGCATCGCCCTGCTTCCCATCCCTGATCCTGTCTCCTAAACTAGGCTGTCCCACTCCCACTGCAGGGGACTAAAGGCCTTTCTGAACCATGCAGCAAGCTTGGAAACCCAATTTCTACTTTCCTTTCTCTCCTGAAACTTGTCCTTCACCAATCTTCCCCCTGCAGCAAACAGTATCCCCATCTACTTGATTGCTCAAAATAAAATTCTTGATCCATAGTTCCTTGACTATTCCCTTACCCCCATACCCCATGTGCAACCCATTAGAAAATCCTGTTGGTTAAACTTTGAAAAGTTCTTCCCTCCTTCTCCACTGCCGCCATCCCAGACTAAGGCACTTCTCTCTCTGCTTGGAGAAGTTCCAGAAGAGAAATACCCTAACTCTCATCATCTCCTCTTACTCCTCCTCCCCTTCCCCCCAACCCTCTTCCAATCTATTCATAGTGGACAAAGCAATTTTTAAGAAGAAAATCAGATATATCATCCTGCTACTCAGAGTCCAGTAGCTTCCTTCTGAGCTTCCGATACACACGCATCCCTTACCCTGGTCTACAGCCCTCACAATCTAACCCTTGTCCGTTTATTCTGTGGCATTGTCGCCTTCTGTTTACAGTGACACTGGCCTTTTCATCTGTATTAAACCTCCCGAGATTATTCTATATAAGGATTTTTTGTTTCTACTGTTCCCTCTGCTTCGAAAACTCTCCCCAGCTCTTCGCAAAGTTGACTTGATGTTATTTAGGTCTCCGGTGTTTTCTCAGAACATGCTACTTAATGTCCCTTCCCCACCTCATCTTAGAATTGCTCTTTGATTCCATTCCCAGTTTTATTTTCTGCATAGCTGTTAATGCTATTTGGTTTGATATTTCTTTCTTTCTTTGCTTGCTCTTAATTGTTTTATATAGCCATCTTCCTTCGTTAAAATTAATGGTAAAGGGGACAAGATTGCTGTCCAGCATGAATTTTCCAACACCTAAACTTGTGTTTGGAAAAGAGTAGGCACTTCATAAACATTTCCTTGGTTTTACTCTAAAAGAATATAGAAACTTTTCTAATGGATTAAGTCTTTTTTGGCTGGGATTGTGTCTCCTTCCAACCTGCAAGCACCTGCTTCCTTATGTACGTTACACATCTAATGAAGGAGGACCCCATCGAGGATGACTATCTTCCAGGTTGTTTGTTTGAAATCTTTCCACTTTTTTGGTGTAGGTGTTTATTGCTATAAATTTCCTTCTTAGCACTGCTTTCCCATAGGTTTCAGTATGCTGTGTTTTCATTTTCATTTGTTTCAAGAAATTTTTATTTCCTTCTTAATTTCTTCATCGACCCAATGGTAGTTCAGAAGTAGGTTGTTTAACTTCCGTGTGTTTGTGCAGTTTCCAAAGTTCCTCTTATTATTGATTTCTAGTTTTATTCCATCATGGTTTGAGAAGATACTTGATATGATTTCAGTTTTTTAATTTGTTAAGATTTGTTTTGTGGCCTAACATATGGTCTATCCTGGAGAATGTTCCCTGTGCTGATGAGAAGAATGTGTATTCTGTAGGTGTTGGATGAAATGTTAGGTCCATTTGGTCTAGAATCCAGCCCTTGAAAATCACCTCTGCTCAGACTTGCAGAGCTCACGCAGGCTTATGCAGATGTATGCAAATCACATGCAAATATGCCCACAGTCCCTGGGACTCCTTCTAGTACCTGGAAGAGACCCTTGGGATAAACCCGTTGGAGATAAGCGCCTGCACTGTCAGGAAGACGAACAAAATGATTCCATTTTTAATTTCTTAGGCAGTTTGTGTACGTCCCCAGGCCTTGCAAATTCAGAGATTTTGATCAAGGACATTAAACCGAACAATGAGGCTTACAACAAAAGGAGAACAGCTGATAAAGCCCACTGCTCTGAGCCTCCCAGGGCCCCTCCGCACAACAAGGCAATGGACCAGAGACCAGACACATTGGGGTCTTGCTCTGTATTCGACACATGAGCAGTTTGGAGAGACCCCTCTGTGGCTGAGCCTCCAGGGGCTGCATCCGAGTCAGCACTCCTCTCCCCAAATTTAGCTTGTCAAAAGTCATATGCCAACCCTCTTCAGAAAAATG